ACTTCCGTAGTGATACTGCCTCGGAAACCCAAGGAGGGGTCGCTATGAGTCGGGGCCGACTCGACGGCACATAACAACAACAACAATAATTAAAAAGTAGGCCTGGCATGTTAGAGCAACTCAGTTTAAAAAATATCTTCTAATCTGCAGAATACTGTATAACATGGATGAACTTGGAGGACATGATGCTGAGTGAAATAAGTCAATCACAGAAGGACAAATATAGTATTAGTTGATTATTGTAAAAAGTCAAGGAAAGATTTATATATTGAAGGAAATTTTCTTGGTTACCAGGGGTGGGAGGGGAGGGAGGGAACATGGGGGGTAAATGGATGCATCGACCCATGTAAAAATAAATAAATAAATAAAGCAACCCATACCAAAGGAAGTTGGGAACAACCACCACCACCAAAAACTATCTTCCGTTTACCTTAAGTTGGATTATTGCAATAGCATGATGGAATGAAGTGCTAAAGATGTCTTATGACACTTGACTTAGTATGTCATCCAGCTTAATGTTCTTGTCTGTCTGTGACCCTTGGGGCATCATGATAGCTGCCTTCTTTAACATCACATGTGCAGGGTGAGATCATTTTGTTTGCTTTGCACATTTCTTAGCATCCCCTTAGAACAATCACCGGTCAGTGAAGCTTGCACTAAGTAGGTCACAACTCTTGTGATTAAAGATTATCTGTTATTCCTCCCTGATAAAGTGGAGTTGCTTCTCAAACACCCAAGCCCGGTGTTTAGGTCCTAAGGTCTGCAAATGAGGTGAAAATGTGTGTAGGGAGTTTTCTCTTGAATCCCTGGAGTCACTCATACAGTTTACTAGGTTTCTGGGTTAAAAAAGTAGTTGTATTTAATAGCTGTTGTTTATGAAACGAAACGTTTCAATTCTAGACTTATATTAACCATGATGAGAGAAGTATGTGGGTACTAAGGAGCACTGAGGGAACAGCAGATTCAGGGCTTTATTGAAGGGAATGGCAGACAGGGTGAGTGCATATATACAGGCAGCCTCCAACTTGAGAAGGGGTTCCGTTCTCACAACTCCCTTGTAAGTTGGTTCTAATGTAAAGTTAAATACTGTTTTTTAAATTAAGGTTTTCATTATTATTATGCCTTTTATTATCAGTGTCTTTATAAATCCAATCGTTGTCTTAGGGGTTGGAAACATTACGTATAAACTTACTGATATATTTTAACATTGTGTGTAGTGCCTGTCAGTAATGATAAAAGGTAGTATTCAGGTACATTGTAAGTCAGGGACTACCTTTAATTACTTTGCTTGCTTGCTCATTTGCCAAATGCATGCAGTTGAAGTTCTTTTTACCATTTGCTATAACTCTACTGTAGCTTTCTTCCCTTTGCCTCCTTTCTTTGAAAATTTCACTATAAAAGTAGTCATTCCAGTTAACTCATTGTTTTCCAGTACTCTTTATTAAAGGCAAAAACATATATTAATTATATCAGTGTTTTAAAGATTCTTTTCTTGAACACTTTAAATAAAGTTTTAAAGTTGAAAATTCTTACCTGGTTACTACTGGCCTGCCTTCCAGGTTCACTTATTATTGTTAGTTGCAATCAAGTTGATTCCAACTTAATGTGACTGACTCCATGGGTGACAGAATAGAGCTGATCTTTAGAGTTTTCTTGGCTCTAATCTTTATAGAAGCAGATTGCCAGGCCTTTTCATCAGTGGTACCCATGGGTGGGATCTAACTGTCAGCTTTTAGATTAGCAGTTGAGCATAAACCATTTGTGCCACCTAGGGACTTTAATAGAGGATTCATACTGTGCCATTTTAATAGCCACATATGCTATTAATGTTAAATCTTTTGAGTTTGACTGTTGATCAAGCAGATGACCAAAAAAATTCAGTGCCATCGAGTCGGATCCGACTCATAGCAGCCCCTTCTTGGGTTTCCAAGGTGGTATCTCTATGGAAGTAGATTGCCCAATCTTCCTTCCGAGGAATGGCTGGTAGGTTTGAATGGCCAGCCTTCTGGTTAACAGTCAGATGTCTTAGGCACTATGCCACCAGAGCTCCCAAGCAGATAACAGATAGATACATTTTAAAGGCCTATATATTAGTAACTTTTGCCAACCCACTGAGGAAGTTAGGCATGTTGTATTGGTTATAATCTGCCATTTCTGTTTATTGATTTTGTGTGTTTTTATACAGGTTGCTTTCCTGTTGCATCTTTGATATAGTTTCCTAGACTCTGCTCCATGATTTAACTCAATTCTGAAATGAAGATGGAGGAGGCAGTGGGAAAAGTCGAAGAACTCATTGAGTCTGAAGTCCCACCAAAAACATCTGCGCAAGAGACGGCCAAGGAGGAGGATGGATCTGTAGAACTGGAACCTCAAGTTCAGAAAGATGGTGTTGCAGATTCTACAGTTCTTTCTTCAATGCCTTGCTTGTTGATGGAACTGAGAAGGGACTCTTCTGAGTCTCAGCTAGCATCCACAGAGAGTGACAAACCGACAACTGGCCGAGTTTATGAGAGTGACTCCTCTAACCACTGCATGCTTTCTCCTTCCTCTAGTGGTCACCTGGCTGATTCAGATACATTATCTTCTGCAGAAGAGAATGAACCCTCCCAGGCAGAAACAGCAGTAGAAGGAGACCCTTCGGGAGTGTCTGGGGCTACAGTTGGGCGCAAGTCTAGGCGGTCCCGATCCGAAAGTGAAACATCTACTATGGCTGCCAAGAAAAACCGGCAATCCAGTGATAAACAGAATGGCCGAGTTGCTAAGGTTAAAGGTCATCGGAGCCAAAAGCACAAGGAGAGAATCAGGCTACTGAGGCAGAAACGAGAGGCTGCTGCCCGGAAGAAGTACAACCTGCTGCAGGACAGTAGTACCAGTGACAGTGACCTGACTTGTGACTCAAGCACGAGCTCGTCGGATGATGATGAAGAGGTTTCAGGGAGCAGCAAGACAATCACTGCAGAGATACCAGGTAGAGGATGTTTTTTAAACTGACTGTAAAGCACCTGATGGCATTTCTCAGCTGTCAGGCTCAGTTAGATGAGTGACACTTGAGAAAATCCAGGAGCCCTGCAGCTCTGTGTAAATTTGAAGCCTGCAGTCTATTAACAAGACATGGCCAATTTTAAAAACCTGTTCTGAGGTTTCCAGTGCACTTTAGCACATCAGCAAAAAATATTTAAATGGTTAATGGTAGGGACAAGATTATTTTTAAGTAACAGAACTTCTCACAACTTGTTCTCTGTAACACATTACCTGAACTCCCAGCATTGCCTTTTCAGCACTGCTTAGATTGAATTCTCACTGTTGAGCATTATCACTAAGTATGTTCCCCTCAGGAATAGGCACCTTTCTTTATTACACAGCCTCTTCACTCGAGCTGATGGTGTCTGAAGGCACTCGAGCTGATGGTGTCTGAAGGAACATGCTCCATCTTTCGTTCAAGTTTTCTAGTAACTGTTCTCCTCTGACAGTGCTTTGTGTTATTTTTCTGATTCAGTGCATGATAAGCTAGTTATCCTTGTTGCACATTTTTCTACGCTAAGTTGTCACTTGCATTAAAAAGAATGTTTTTTGCAAAATATCACCCTTAAACCCCCTCCCCAAGCTTATACCAGGTTTGTTAGAAATCTGCTGGTTTCAGCTGTCATTGGTATAAGGGTCTGTAGTTTATTAAATGTTTGAATATCTGTTTCCACCACATTACCAGGTCTGGTACTGTGTACTACAAAGGCAGCCTTAAGATTTCATAGTGCAAGAAAGATGAGGTCTGAACAGTTCGTAAGTGGTGAATTTTCGTTATTGAAGAGACTCATAATATGATTGATAATGTTCTGTATACTATGTGGCATTTAATAGATTTTGTCAGCATTGTTTATTGCTACATTAAGGAGAGGGAAGTTTGGTTTTCTAAAGTTTTATGGGTAACTATGTTTTTCTTCCTAGTTTTCTGTTTCTATATGTGAAGGCAGCATATTGCTGATATACAAAGAATATTTCAAGAAAAATCATATTGGTTAATTAAACCTGTAGATAAATAAAACTTAGAAAAGCTCAATAATAAGAATGATTGGTTGTAAAGCTTTATAGGTGTTCAACTTATAATAAAAGTTTCATCCTTATAGTGTATCAAATATGAGTTTTTAACATTCTTTAGTAATATATTTTACTGCTTAATACCTACTTAATTCCTCTGGTAGCTCACTTTTGAGATGTATTAAAATTACTGGGAAGAGGATTTAAATGAAGCTCATCAACTGCATGCATGAGAGAAGCAGACTTTGGGGCTGTTCTAAGGCAGACTCTAGGAGTACTTCACTTTTACACTTACTCATATTTTAAGGAAAGCCTTATTAACACCTGTGAAGTTGTTGTTCATACATTGTCATGTCCTGTTCTAATCTTTAAATCAAGATAATGATGAATTTGTGATACAGTGCTTACTTCCCTTACTGAGCAGGTGTTTATGTAACCATCCTGATGTTTCCTTTTTAAGGAAAGGGTGGGTGAACAAAATTATCTTTGAAGATAGAGCCCCACTGTAGAGGTGGCATGAAAGATGACGTCATGATACTATCCCTGTTTGACTCATGTAGGTTATATGTACTTTGTTCATATTTTCTTATCTCTTTTACTAATTGACAACCTCAACTGTTGTTTAAAACTTGTAAAACACTAGTGGTCTGTTTCTTCTCACTTCAAAATTGTATAACCAAAACATCAAAGTAAATTATGTCAATTTATAATTTAGTTTCTATTATTCACAACTGTTTGAATAATTTCTTTTAGAAGGATCAGCACAAGGCTGGTCCCTATGAGACAGCGGTTAAAGATGTCCCAACTGCCCAGTTTTTCCAGACTGCTGTACCACTCCACCATCTGTAACATCAACTCTTCCTCCTCCCGTTATTACTCTCCCTCCTCCTGTCTTAGGGTTCCATTTTTCGCTGTAACGTCTCACAGAACTCACAAACTGCCAAGGAAACAGCTCATGCGGTGGTGGAGGCTGGGAGGCTGGCAGGTTGCTGATCCGTGGGTCAGGTGTAGGTATGGAGGATTCTCCTTACTTATGTGGTTACAGGGTCTGGTGAACCCAAATCAGCAGGTCAGATAACTGGCTGCTGTCTGAAGTCCAGGGGTGAGATGTTGATGAACCAAATATAGGAGCTGGAACAAGAAAGAACGGACTTTGCCAGAATATTCACAGGTGCACCCTCAAGGAAACCAAGGATGGTGACTTGAGTCACACCCTCCAGCAAGGCGAAACTCAAGATACATTCCACCCTAAACAGGCACAGAGGCTAGGATTTACAGTACATCACAAAATGGAGGACTGTTGCATTGCAGCACCATTTTTGTAAGTTTGTGACTTTTGAAAATATGTAGCGTTTCCTAAGGTAATAATGGAGAATCAAATGATAGGTAAGGTGCAGGGCCACTGTATATGGTTGCCTAGGCTGTGCACTGTGCAGTTTTGGGAGGAGCCATTCTCTTAAGACAGGGAGGGTATGAATGGTCCTTCCTGGAATTATGTAAAACAGTGAAGATGGAGCAAGCTAGATTGTAAATATTAGGAAGTTCATTTCTTAACCATCCCTTTTTAACTGCCAGACCCAGTATCACACAGGTCTTTATTGTTGATTGATGCAAACAAATGGTCCATATTATTATCTTTAAAAAATACGAAATTACACATTTTTAATTTAAAAATGATACATACCTCAGTTTCCTGAGTCACATAATTTTGGGGGTGGGGGGGAGACACACTCAAACTTAAGCAATGGCGGTTGTTGAAAAGTTGTATAAATTGTGAAGAGAGGATAAACCGTGAACTGGCTTGAGTGCAGCAACATGGACATTCAGGTGGAACTTCACCTGATGTGCTGACAGAACCTCTTGGATGTCAAAATCTAACTCAGCTGTTGACACAGAAGGGAAGCCAAGATGAAAAGTAAGAACAGATTCTTGCTCTGTTCTTTCATTAGGTACAACTTCATTTAGTAATACAAATTTAGTAATTCAGAAATGCTTAATTTAGTAAGTTTTTGTTTGGCAGCAGCTTAAAAGTTGAGGAGTTAATTAATGTTCTCATAGTGTGTAACTTAACACAATGCATTTTCCTTTAAAGAGTGCAAATAATTAATGATGCAGACTTACAGTGCATGGTCATGCTTAACTGAGTTTGATACTTTGGGCAACAGATGTTTATAAAGATAAATATTTTTTCTTTTTAGTTAGCAGTTACTGATAGGCAGCTTAGTATCAGCACTAGTTATTCTTGCTGCTTGAAGTTTTTGAAAATATATTTATGTTTTAAAAATCTGGAGGTACCATATCAGTGTAATTCTGGCAGTTCTTTCATTTGGAGGATTTAGAGATGACCAAAAATAGAGAATTTTATAGTGAATGTTATGTGCTGGTTATCTTGATTATTGAAGGGTTTTTGCCAAGTGTATAATTTATCATTAGGAGCTCTGGTAGCATAGTGGCTAAGACACTTGCCTGCTAACCAGACGGCTGTCGGTTCAAACCCACCAGCCACTCCTCGGAAGGAAGGTTGGGCAATCCTACTTCTGTAGTGATACTGCCTCGGAAACCCAAGGAGGGGTCGCTATGAGTCGGGTTTGACTCGACGGCACATAACAACAACAACAACAATAATTTATCATTACAGGTTATCTTTGTGGTATTTCGCTTATGTTTTATGATTAGAGCCTTAATGTCTCACAGGAGCGGCAGGGGGGCACAGTTTTTCTCTGTAAAATCACTTTTAGTTGAGACTAGATCTGTAAAGTCTGCTTGGGAAGAGATTTTCATTTTAGTTACTGTGAATAATTGACATCAGACTTAATTGAATAAATTGATTCTCTGAACAGACTAAGGTAAACCAGTGTACATGGGCAGCAGGGAAAAGTTTTTCAAGTAGCTTATTTTTCATTACTCTTCAGCATAGGTTAAACCTCAGGGTAGCTTCATGTTGTTTTGGCTGTAATGGCCTGCTTTTGTGTGGTTACACTGTCCACCATTTAAAGGCCTCCTCACACTGAGGTTTTGAAAGTAATACCCTCCCTGACAGGTGAGGTCAGCTCTCTTAGATACATTCTTGCATACAGAAAGCCTACTTGGTCTGTTTGGAGAATGTTAGGGACGCTGTTGAAAACAACTGTCTAGGCTTACCTGCTTTCTCAACCCATGTGGCCAGCTCAGCCCTGCCCTGCCCCGCCCCGCCCCGCCCCACCCCACTAACCCAGGATCTCACATTCAGTGCTCACCATACATCTGCATTGAAATACATCATGACAGACTTTCTTCTTGATTTATAGCTTTTCTGAGGTAAATACTGTTGTGCTTGATCAGTTAACTGTTGCTTAGAAGTTAAGCAAAAAACAAGTTGAAACAAACAGACAAACAAAAACTATTTCTGAGTAGGAAATCCTTTGTAGAACTTTTGGAAAACAGAAAAATGTGAAGCAGAAGATTAAAGTCACCAGTAGTGATGCTTTTGTTTACATTTGCGTGTGTTGCCTTTCATTATATGTAACAAAATGTCATGTAATGTGTACTGTTTCACTTTAACCCTGTCTCTCATAATGTTGATAACATTTTGAACATTTAACAGGAATACTAAATACTTTCCCACAAATGTATGCGTTTTGAATAATTTTGCTAACTACAAAGTAAATTCCCTTATATTGGTTTTGTGGGTTGTTTTTCAGGTCTTGCTATTATCAGGGTATGAACATACAAGGCTCTTGACACATACTTCCAGACAGCATTTTTTTTTTTTATTAGGATTTGGGTGAAGATTTACAGAGTAAATTCACTTTT